TCGATCCAGTCTTGACCAGAATGACGGTGCCTCCAGAATGATGGTTCGAGTCAGAATGATGGTTCTGGTTGCGCACTTGAAGTAAGCGACCCCTTGCAGCTGATTGGTCCATTTCCATCCGTCTCACATTCTCCAAATTTATCAAGCGCTTCACCACAATAAGGTGATGCTCAAGTTGCTAGATGTTAGAGATGTTTCTATGTCGAGACATTCTCCCATTTGCGAAGCCACCATTGTCTTTGCTAACATCTTTCTATTTGAAGAAGATGCTAAGCTGATCGTTTCACGAGAGCTCAGCGCAATGCCAGTGGCACGGGTGATAGTTTCAACGTCGCTCTTCTGCCCTAGACATCGATCATCGTGCTCGGAGCCGTACTGCAAGAGTTGGAAACTGGATCATCAACTAGAAGTACAATGTAGCTGGAAGGCTACACCTCATCCCATTTACATATACCGTAAGAAACTTTGATCCATTCTGCTATCTCATACTTGCTTCTACTCAAAGTCTTCGCGCTGCTCATGAGTGCCGTCACCAAGAGCGAATGCAGCTCCGCAACCCAAACCGCGTGCGGCAGCAGCAACCCGGCTGGGTGTAGTATCATCACGCCCGAGTGTAACAGTAGCCCATACGTCATGCGAGTCACCGGTGATTCCGTGAGCACCGCCGAGTTCATGAGCGTCGCCGTCACTGACTATGCCAGCCGCACCACTAAGTCCGCGGCTGCCATCGCCAAGTCTGTGATCATCACCACCTCCATGTCCTCGCCCGTCGTTGCTGACAAGTCGGCGAGCGCTGCGGCTACCAACTGTATGTGCTACTCCACCAGGCCCAGCTGCATCACCAAGCTCGCGCCCATCTTCGCTATCTGTGCAAGCAGTATCATTTAGAGCCTGACTGCCACCGACTCCGCGAGGGCCATCATGGCTGCGTGCGCCACCAACAACCAACACCAGCTGCGCCAGCGGCACCACCAAGTCCGTGCCCCCCCCCGTCTCCAAGTCTGCGCGCGTCATCACGGCCAAGTCCGCGCTCGTCGTCGTTGGCAAGTCTGCGAGCGCCGCTCCACCATCAAGTCCGTGTGTGTCGTCACCGTCTGTGAGAACGGCACCACGGCCACGTAGGCGGGCTTCACCACGACGTTCACTAGTGCATCCAATTTCGCGAACATCACTACAGACACCACTAAGTTTGCTAGCTACCACACTTCCAGGCCTATTGTCCAAACGGCTGTC